GGGCATTTTGGGGACAAGCACATGGTATGTACACCGGGTTTCGATCCGATAGGGGATTGGCTAATATTCCTACCTATAGATTATCGGACTGGTTCTGTTCTTGCTCTACGTTTGCCAAGCGCTATACGGACTTGTGATCCATCTCGCCAAATCGCCGGACCGCAAGAGGCGCCCTATCCAAAATTATGGTCATGCCATTCTTGGATTGGGATTAATCGTTTTAGCACTGTACCAAGTTTGGCTCGGATTCAACCATGAATGGTCCACGGCGACTGGGCGTGACAAGCCCAAGCGGGGAGTTAGGATCTTCTGGATCATCTGGGTTGCGGTACGTATCTTGCTACCGACCGTAAAAAGTAAAAAAGTATTAATAGCTATTTGCCGTCTCTCAGGTTCTCGGAGCTGCATATGTTATTGGACTTGCCCTCCTGCCCAAGCAATATAAGTCGGAAACACGATCCATTCGGAACCGCGAGAAATCCGGCGGGTTGACAGGCTCTGATGACGATGTCCACCCTATGGCTGGTCGGTCGTGACATGAGGACTCTATCCCGCTCTTGCAACGTCAAGATTGGGATGACTGACGACCTTTCTCTTGATGTTGTATCCGAGCCAAGATACACGATGGACTCTTGGTTGAAGTGCATGGCCTTGGACTATTTCTGTTTCCTAGCGGCTCGGGAACTATTGTAGTTTGCTTGTCTGTCTTCTTGATTGTAGGATCACTGTCTTCATTATGAATGGTCTTCGTCAACGTATTATCGTTGATTAGGATGGCGGACAAGCCCGAAAGTGCCGTTATGCACCAGTCACAAGTACGAGCTATTCGCCAGGCGTCCCTTGGGTCAAGATGCAGATTCTCCGAGTTTGATCGTTCAGCCGGGTTCACGTGGCTTGTTGGCCATTGCGGCCTCGCTCATCCGCTGCCATGGTCTAGCTCGACACGATCGAGGGCCTATCTAAAATTATCACCCATACGGGTATTCCATCTTGTTAGAAGCTGAGAACGCTAGCTCTGGGTCCTGGATTCTACTCCTCTTGATGATGTGTTGCTGGCAGACAGTTTTCCGGGGATTTACTTTAGACTTTGTTATCGCACGACAGCCAGTGGGATGACGTCGTTGCTATTAGCGGCACGACAGGTCGTTCTTAGTTGCATGGCTAACCCTATCACTAAGCTAGTCTCCTGTCAACCGCGACCTTCATCCAATACAGTCGATAGGCACAAGGTCTCGGCAAAGCGGCTTCGACATGCTTCTCTGTACGGGTACGCTGGTTCTCTATCGCTCGCCAGTTTCGACAACTCGCCGAGTATCCGAGACTCTACCGTGATCGCGACAAGAGTCACGCTCGACTTCGTTCCGAAGTTATTAACAAAACTTCCCCTCTGCAGCTATCTAAAGCCCAGATTGTATAGCGCAATCCCTCATGTGATGCCGACGCTTGTGCTTACTGCCGCCGCACAAGTCACAAGTCTGGTTTTATGCCTTCTAGCATACCGACGTGATCCCGAAAAGGCCAATCACCAGCCTGCAATTTGGGCAACCAAGCGGAATGGCAACCTGGTCGTACCCTTGACATTGCGATTTTGGACGAACAGACAAATGCGAGCGTGCCGGGCGTGCCGGCTCTCGGAGTTATGTCTGCGCGATTCCTTTTGACGACGAGCTTGTCGTCGTTCATTTACGATCGTGATCAGGGGTATATAATGCGTAGGCGAGAGGCATTGGTCCAGACAGCATCCCCTCTCGATCGTTTGCTAGGCTGAGAATCCGACGACCATGCTCGGCCGTCTCCTTCTCTCTCTTCTCCCCCTTGCAGGGCGTGTTTTCTCTCAGCAGAGTGTAGTATGGACTGATCCCAGCACCAACATCCCCTTTACATCCTACGTCGACCCCGTCCATGGCATCCGGCTTAGTATTACATTCCCAGCTAGCACGGCACCCACAGAGTTTGTGGGTGAGATTGTTGCTCCCATTGCTGCTAAATGGGTTGGTTGGGCACTCGGTTCGGGCATGAACAACAATCTACTGTTGGTCGCTTGGCCAAGTGGCAATTCGGTTGTAGCTTCAACGCGTTATACTACGTGAGCTATATGTACTTCATAATACCTATCATTTTCTCATATTTTCTCGCAGGGGGTACACTGAACCGGCAGTCATCACCGGATACACTCTGACTACCATTACTGCTGGGACGAGCGTAAACTCTACGCATTGGAAGTGGCTTTTCCGCTGCCAAGGTTGCACAAGCTGGACGTTAGTATACTCGATCTCTGTTTGATCTAAATACTAATTTAGCTTCAGTGGTGGTTCGATGGTCACGAATGGAGTTCAAGTATTTGGATGGGCTTACAGCACAACGCCCCCAGCTACCCCATCTAACCCAGCTTCGAGTTTCACGGAACACGATGACTGTCAGTGTTCTGGTGTTCCGCGTTACCAACTTGCTAACCCTGGTTTCTAGTTGGCTTGTGGGGTCATGACACGGCTACCCCACACTACTCGAACTACAACGACTTCCTTGACGGTTCTGTCTCACCTGGCACAACTCCTACCGCGACATCTAGTGTCCCACCATCAACCACGAGTGTCGGCCCAACTGTGTCCGCGACTCCTTATGATTACATCGTTGTTGGGGCCGGTGCGGCTGGTATCATTGTTGCAGATCGGTTGTCGGAAGCAGGCAAGAAGGTTCTTTTGATCGAACGGTGAGAGCTCTTGAAGCATTCCATTATAGACTAATCTCACTTTTTTTTTGGTAGTGGTGGACCCAGTACTGCTGAAACTGGAGGAACGGATACGCCTCCTTGGCCAAGCAAGACGAGCCTTACTCGCTTTGATATTCCCGGTCTTTTCGAGGGCATGTTTGCCGGCTCAAACCCATACTGGTGGTGTGACGGTAAGCCCTGGCTGCTGTGGCTATATGTGTCTTGACCTAATGTATTGCATGTAGATGTCCTGCCATTTGCTGGATGCCTTGTTGGCGGTGGAACTTCGATCAATGGATTGTAAGGAGAAAAGCACACTGACACACCAATAAACTTACCAGAATTGCAGGCTTTATTGGTATCCCACCGATGCAGAATTCGCAACTACCAACGGTTGGCCAAGTGGTTGGCAGCAAGTCTCTACGTATCTCCCCAAAGTCACAGCTCGCCTACCATCTACCGATACACCTTCCACGGACGGAAAACGTTATCTCACTCAATCTTATGATGTGGTCAAGTCGATTCTTACCAAGCAAAACTACCAAGAAATGACCATCAACAACGGCCGCGACCAGAAAGACCACGTTTTCGGTAACCCTGCCTACTACGTACGCTACCAATTCTTTCGATGCTTTACTTGCTAACATGATGTTCGTCTAGATTCAAGGTGGAAAGCGAACTGGCCCTATGGGTACATACTTGAAGACGGCCAAGGCTCGATCCAACTTCAACCTTATGACTTACACAAAAGTGCTTTCAGTGGTTCGCAACGGTGCACAAATCACCGGTGTGCAAACCAATAACACAGCCAGTGCGTGCATTCCTCTGTCCTTCGGTCGCAATTATTTACAATTGGCTTGGTACAGTTGGCGGTAATGGTATTATTCCTCTTACCTCCAGCAAGGGTCGCGTTATTTTGGCCGCAGGCGCGTTTGGTACCTCCAAATTGCTTTTCCAGTCTGGTGAATACGTCTTATTTCTTGAACATAATAAAGCGTGCTAAACACTTGTGCAGGTATTGGACCGTCCGATATGCTTGCCATTGCAGCTGCCGATCCTACGGCAAAGAAGTATATGCCCCCCTCGTCGCAATACATCAACCTTCCTGTGGGCATGAACGTCAAAGATAACCCATCGGTGAACTTGGTGTTTACTCACCCAACTGTCGATGATTATGACAACTGGGCACCGATCTGGTCGAGCCCTCGCACGGCTGACGCAAATCAGTATGTCTCCAACCAATCCGGTGTCTTTGCTGCATCGTCTCCTCGATCCAATTTCTGGCGGGTATACGGTGCATCCGACGGCAAGACTCGTTACGTGCAAGGCACTGTTCACCCCGGTCTTGCTGCTTCACCCCAACGTACCCCTACAATGTCTCGGCTCAGTTCACTGTCACGATGTATCTTTCTACTGGTCTCACATCGATTGGCCGTATTGGTGAGTACGTGGTGCATGTGTTCAGCCACACAACTAACACCTCGCATCAGGTATCGATGCGTCAATGCGCTCTCGTATCATTACTAATCCCTGGCTAACCGACCCTGTGGACCAGACTGTCCTTGAACAGTCCATAACCGACTTCCTGTCGACATACAAGCAGGTCCCGGGTCTCCAACTGATTTCACCAGACAATGTCACTTCGATCCATACACATGTCACTAACAAAGTCGATGGGTCGAACCATTGGACTGGTTCGACCAAGATTGGAACAAGTTCATCGAACTCTGTTGTTGATACCAACACCAAAGTCTGGAACACGAGTGAGTGACTTGAGAAAGCTAGTAATTGTATTGCTGATCCCATGTTTCAGACAATTTGTTCGTTGTCGATGCTGGCATCATGCCAGGTATGCCAACAGGTAATCCCCAGGGTGCAATCTTTACAATGGCGGAAATGGCGGTGGCTAAGATTTTGGCGCTATCGGGTGGCCCTTGAGCGAGATATTATTTGGGCTTGTACATATAACATGGCTTTCTTCTACAATGGGTGGATATTATCGATTAAAGTTACAAGTATTGGATTTTGAACTTCGAAATGTGTCTCACAGTTGAGGGCTATGACCATAAATTATGGTTTAGTTGAGTCTCATACATTCTCTAGGAAAAACAAGGCTTCGAGAGGCTGCAACACAAGCCAAGAGAATACATTTGCGACCAGATTAAACTAGTGTTGTTGTCCCAGAGTCGGCCAGGTAATTATTAAGCACAATGTGCCACTCTTCTATTTGGCCAACGAAGCGATTGAGAAAAGTGAATGTTTGGCAAAATTTGTAGATGTTCCAGGGCAAAACCCACCGCGGGGCTCGAACCCGCAGCCTCCAGATGACACGTAATAACGTAGAAGTCTGGCGCGCCACCATTGCGCCAGGCGGGCTTAGCGGACGATCTGAGAGCAAACATTATCATGGTTTACCTCAGCTGATATTATTCAGACCATGACATGGCATTATTTTGACATCAGCCCAGGTAGCGTTGTTGATAACAACATAGACATTTTTTGCTACAGAAACACAGATAGCGAGTGAACAGAATCCGATATTACAAAACGATAAGATCAAAGAAAGTAACAAGATCCAAACAATAATAAAAGACGAGCTGCGCTAGTCGTCTTCTTCAGATGAAGAGTCATCATCATCTGAACCTAGGATAAATGTCAATAAACTGTCAAATTTGAATAACGGAATAAACTCACTATCATCCTGAGTCACCGCTTCCATGGCTTGCGCCAATTCTGCCCCAAATTCTCCGCCATCCTCTTCATCTTCATCTTCCTCGTCCTCCTCTTCGTCACTGCTCTCTCCCAGTTGCCTTGCCATCTCGGCCTGAAAGTATTCCACTTCAGGTACAACTTCGACCATCTCGAACATGTCTTCTGGGTCGGGCTCAACTGGCGGAGGTGGAGGCGGCCGGGGCGGAGGATCCCTAGCCCGACCCGCTTTCGGAAAGTTGATTCCCCCGGAACGCCCAGACTTGGCCTGCGTTTTTCGTGGTGGATCCCGGGTTGAAGTTCCGAATGATCCCCCAAAGTCGATCACCTCCTCATCCGGCCCGTCAGCCGTGGTGAACGTACTCTTCGCATTTGCAGTGCGTCGATGTGCGGTAGCGGTCACGGCTTCCCAAGGTAATATTCCGTTTGTGTCAGCAGAATCCATCTCTCCGTTGGTATCGTCGGCCTGCTCATCCACATCCATCGCCATATTCTGCTCCAGTAGAGGCACTGACACAGGCTCAAGCTCCAGTTCCCCTTCTTCTGCGTCTTCTGGAAGCCGAGGAGGCGGGGTCGGCTCCTTAACGGGTACTTTGGGTTTGGGTTTGGGTTTCGCCTTGGGTTTTTGTACCGCAGTACGTTTAGCCAGGGGAGGAGTAGGTACAGATACAGGCGGTTCGGCGGCAGTAGGGAAAGCGATGGGCGCAGGCGTTGGTTTGGGAGGTGGCACAGTGACGGGGGGGATAGCGACAGGTTGGGTGGTTGGAGATGCTCGAGAACGTGACCGCGAGGCGGCTTTTGAAGCAGCACGATCATAGGTTAACAGAACAGCGCTATCTGCTTCATACATGGTAAACTCCTAGAGTGCCATCAGCAATGCGTGAGGCCAAATTGGGTAGAGACATACTCCTGTTGTAGGGTCGAACACCATAAACACCTCCAACTCTTTTGGTGTTTGTTCAACAGCCGTAAACAGATGCTTGTCGTCATTCTGAAGAAGATTATCAGCCGATGTTGATACGTACACGAGTCTACTCACGTTGGAGCCCAACTGTTCCACGTCAAGTGCCACCCCATCCTGGACCACACGCGGCGGGTTCGCAGCCTGCACCTTGCCAGCTTTCCGCACATCAATCGACTCTGGCTTGAAGTGATCTGTTCAAAATCAGCACAAGGAATCATGATCCATAAGCCTCACTCACACTTGAAGCTGTGATACGTCGGATGGGCAGCATTTCGTCGGTGTTGTGCTGGCTCGAGCATCCGCAGGGCACTCTCGTCGAGATTAACGGCGCAGCGGCCTTCAGGGACGGAAAGCGCAGCGCCCCACGACTTGGCTTCGATTTGAGCCATGGCCGGCAGGTGAGGAGGGGTGGATGGTGGTGGTCGGCGGCAAGACCGTACCGGTTTGAGTTGCGCTGGTACCGCACGACGGGGACTGATCGACGAGACCCTGGCGGGAGCGCTAACCGCTGTTTCATATACAAATCAGGTACTTTATGTTACAGAATGGCCCAATCACCGGATAACCCCACCCAAACCAACCCAAAAGCCCGAGAAACAACTGGAAATAGCTCAAACATCCCCCGGAGCTGCATAGCGCACGCGGACATCCTTTGCTTTGCGCTGCAGCTCCTCCAAGCGCTCTAGACGCCCAACTCCCATAGGCAGATTGACCAGTGAGTCACCTAGATACCCCTAAGTATGTGCGATCATCAAAGCACTCGCGCCTCACCTTCGATAGCAGCCAACCAAGAGAATACTCCAAAGTCTCTTCGAGGCAGACCCAAAGGCAGCCGAGGGACAAATATTGCGACCACAAAACCCAAGAGTAAAGTTACTGCAATGACTCATTAGCGGGTGTCCTACAGTCATTTGAGCTTCCTTACCAACTAGCGCAATGATAAGCCAGACGAGATAGACCTTCACATATGCGACAGTCTACATCGCAGTTAGATACCCGCCGCCTGCTATCTGTTTCAGCTCACTTTGTCAGGGTAAGTATGTCCAACAATCGGCTGAGTTCCGACTAGATATGGTAGCTAGCCCAAAATGTCAGATCTCTGAGCTATCAGAAAGCGTGGGCGACCTACTAGGTGTTGAGAGTCGATGTCTCCTAGTACGTCCTGTAATTCGATCGATTTGATGGATGTATATGCATTGGGATCGATTTCGCCCGCAAATGACACCAACTATCGACTTTTGTTAGGAGCACCCTTTAAAATATCGGGGTTAGGGACTCACTGTGGGGTTCGGAACATACCAGAAATCTCTTCCGTTATCTTTTATCACCGCGTTGCGAGCATTGTAGTGAGCGTTTAAAAAGGCAGTCCATTTTCCAGTCGAATTGAGCCCGCGCTGCACGCCTTCCAACGTAGGACCTTCTTGCTTTTTGCCAGTGGTGTTGAATTCAACTCCAGCGTACTTGAACCCAAGTGTTGTGGGTAATCCCGCGGTCTAGATCCCAGGCCAAATGTCAGCGTTTACAAGCTGCGCAAGTGATGAAGCCAACTTGCGTTGTTATAAGCATCCAAAAAATAAGATCGAATCTCCTGTACGCATATAGCCCCGTCGTAGCCGATGCGGGTTCTCATATTCGCATCGCCCAATGCATAGGTATAGAACTGCCCATTTGGTGCATAAGATTCGTTCAACCGGACGACTATCAGCTCGATCATCGACCACCCTAGGCCACTGCCGCCCTGATCAAACGGGTAGGATTTGAACTGGTGGGCAACGCCATTGTCTACCCATTTGCCTGCTATATGTTGAGAGCGTGATCGGGTTCTATGATTGACGGACTAACCCGTGAGCGCTATGTCTTGCTGCGCTATCTCTGGCAGAGTTGATGAATCATTTGCCGTGAGAGTAGCCAAGTCGACTGGCGGCAGAACGCTCAAATCCGGATTGCTGACCTCCGCATAGCCAAGCAAGTCCAGCACCGCTGTCTTCGTCACGTACATATACGTGTTGTTTTGTTGAGCAGATCTAGGTACACTAATACAAAATTAGCTAGATGACTCGATAATTAACAAAGTAACGTACAGCATAATGCCGCCATTTGTCTCGCTGATCGAGCGGCACACCGTTCGTTCGCCCCATCTAGGCCAACGTATAGTCTCACCAATGGCAGTAGTTTTTTCTACCTTCCCCCATGTTGTTGCGTTGGCCCATACTGCTGTCATATTCGCGAAGTAACTCCCATATCCACTGCCGCCCGGTTTGAGCTGACTGGTATACACCTCTGCGAAATGGACAGCGTCTGTTTTGTTGCTTGTCGGGCGTGTGATCCAAAACGAGCGGTCTGTGGGTAGATGTGCTGACGCAGCAAATGGTGTTATTGACCATGTATATTTGTATTCCTGCATGTGGCGACCTTCAAGTACTGTAATCTATGACTAAAACCATGGTTGCATACCTCAAAAGTCGGGGTTAGCTTGGCAGCCCTCACAACGTCATCAGGCGACAAGTCTCCGATGACAGTAACTTCACGAAACAGATCCGTTTGGGTCTATAGAGATATTGATATGACTAGGTTGATACTTAAAGAAATGAGAAGAGGTACATACCACCTGTCTCGTGTATATATCTACTACACGACCAAATACGAAGACAAGGCACGCAGCGACCGTTGAAGTAAGCAAGAACAGAACGATGCATATCGACCAAGGCACACCACTGAGTCATATGTCAGTCCCCGATGCCAAAGACCAGATGTTATCAGCTTACTCGTAATTCTTTCGCCGCGAGCGATTCGTCCCTGTGTGCTTAAACATTCGTCGGTAAAGTAACAATATCGCCGCCCACGGGCTGTCCGGGTTGGCAGTGTGGTAGTCTAGCTGGCTAAGGGTTACCCCTCCACTACCATCCATGGACTCGTGAATGATGGTGGCCCATACTCATAATAGGATTAGATTGGCAGTACTCTATCAGCTTCTAACGCACTCACGAGCCGCTTCGATCCCTCGCCTTGATAAGTCTAATAAACTTACTCCCAACGACAAGCCTACGACTCCATAAATAGCACCAACGATTAACCGTGTCCAAAACATCGGAAGCCCATTTGCCCTTGGGGTCAGATAGAATATAATCGGAAACGAAGCCACACTAAACCGATATGTGAGTTGCGAGTCGAACAGAGCGCCCAAGAGACTTGCCAAAGAACAGCATGGATGATCAATGGTAGTACAGGGGCGGGTTCGAAGCGATCAAGCCAACCTGTGCCACCGGCCAACCCTGGCGGGACGGGGCTATGAGGTAGAGGAGTGCTCGGCAGTGCGGTCGAAAACCGTTTGGATCTCTCTTCTGCCCTGGAGCGATTATTGAGGTTGACTAGAGGTACATGGTCGTCGCTGTGATTAAAAGGCGTGTACGGATCGGTGTATGTGTCGTTGTGGAAGTCGGATGGGTTGACTGGGGCATACGCTACATTCCGCTGACTTTTCTCCATCATAATTGGCGGAGGTCTGCTGCTCGTGTAGCCGTAAGATGGTGTGTCCTCAAATGGGTCATGCATATCGTCATCGTCGTCTGGTTTCGGACGGGGTGTCTACAAAGTCAAAGAGTTTTAGAGGAAGACCAATCAATCTAGAACCGACAAACCACTGAGCGGATCGAGGGTATAGGCACGGCCGTAGTTCCTGGTACATGGTATGTCGGATCGCTGT